CACACACACAAACGGGTACACACACGGGCACACACACGGACACACACACACACACGGGTACACACACACACGGGCACAAACACACGGGTACACACACACAGGTACACTTGTTGGTACGCACGTCTCTGTGTGTGTGTGCGTGTCTGGGGAGCGGTGGCGCAGTGGTTAGCGCACTGCGGTACGAACGGGGCGAGCCGAGTTAGATTCCCGCTCACGCCCAAAATAACAGCGGTTCCGGGCCTTCAGTAGGTCGCTTTAGCCTCAAAAGAGTACCTGGTGCGGTGTGTGAACATCTCCACTGGGAGACTAAGGCGGCAGGGCATGGTGCTGGCCTTCATTGGGGCTACTCGTTAACAGCATTTGCCCCAAATGTATTTTAAGGCTATAGGGGGGTCTTTGTCTTTGTGTATGGTGAGCGGTGGTGCGGTGGTTAGCGCACGACGTTATGAATCCAACGAAGGCCGATTCCCGCTCAAGGCTAACATCACTGACGAAAGTCTGAACCGGTCCCCGCGCTTCCCGAAGGTCGGCTCAGCCTGAAATAAGTTCCGTGGGCTGTGGTGATCGTCAACAAACGGGAGGAGGGAGGAAGAGACAGAAGCGGCCGGGCGTAGCGTACTGACCACACCACACTCCCTCTTGCGCTGGTGATTAACGTAATAGGTGCTCGCTAACAACACTTGCCCCAACAGTCTATGGAGGCTACACTTGGGGGGGGGGGGGGGGGGTTCAGAAGGGTCGGGGTATCCTTGTCATTGTCTCTGTACGTGCAAAATAAGAACACTGCAATGTAATATTCGCGCAGTCCGAGCGAGTATCCAGCTCGCGTGCGGATACCAGATGGATTACATTATTACATCGCTCGAGAGATTGTGGGGGATCAATGATGACTCGGATCACATAGCGCCCTCCTGTTCGCCGGGGCGTCTCACAGCCCTTCAACATCTCAGTAGCGCCCCAACCCAGATGAGTGGCAGCGGTCGCTATGCGGCACGTGTCGACTGGGCACGTGGCCTGCAAGCGGGCGTTACTTTGCCAGTAGGGGGCGATTATTGCTGTTGCTGTGTGTGTGAGAGAGATAGCGGTAGTGTAGCGGTTAGCGCGCTACGCTACGAACCTGGCACCCCGGGTTCGATCCCGCTCACGGCCAACACCAGTGACTATGACCTTAACCGGTCCTGGGCCTCCTCTAGGTCAACTCAGCCTCAAATCAGTACCTGGTGTGGTGCGTAAAAACATCGCCACAAGGGAGACAATTGCGGCTGAGCGTGGTGCTGGCCACACACCTCCTCGTGTGCCGTTCTGGCCTTCATAGGCGCTCGCTAACAGCTATACGGAGGATCTTTGTCCTTGTACATCATCTCAATTGTGCGATACATCTTTTTTTTCGAATCTTGCCAAATGTGAATGCAGCCCCCGGCACACAATGGCTTCCTCTCGTGATTACGTCGGCGGATGCGTAATAGTCCACTCCGAACAAGAATAAAAACAGACGGTTAATGCAACAACACCGCCGCAGTAATTGATCGGGGTGGCCGCTGGATTCGAACCCGGAGAACTTCTGTAAACAAGCGGCGAACGCGCCACCGCGGAACGACGGCCTCGGGGCAGGGGGCACGCAGTCATCCACCAGTGGCTTGACCATAGCCAGCGGCGATGCGCGGTGAACGACCGCGCTCGGAGCAGAGTTTTGCCAGATCGGGGGGTTCCAGGCGGGCCGATTGAAGTCGGCCAAAAATGTTGCCCATTAGCAGCGTGGACAGTTGCCGTCGGGTTTCGTCGAGTGGAACAACAGAGGATGAGCAGTGCGCAGACAGGGACGGAGAGGTGCGCGCTGGAAGTTACACTGAGAGGCAGGGAGAGGAGCGGCGCGGTTGAGGAGCACGCGGTTGAGGAGCCACGCGATTGAGGAGCCACGCGGGTGAGAGAACATACGAGGCGGGTTTGAGACATCGTCGTGTGGAACTTTCGGAAACAAAAGAAAGTGAGCGGGCCGGACGTGTCGCTTGACACGGTACCAGCGTCCTCGTTTTAACCGGGGTGAGGCACTTAAGAGGCCAGCAGTCGAGTCTCATTTGCAGCAGTGACCCCTGGATCACTGAACATGACAAAAAAAAAACAGGAAAAGTACCGCAAGGTCGAATTAAGGTCGAGAATAAACGCGGCACGTGCGGGCAAACCGAAGTAAGATGCTGGCGAGGACGTCTACCGCGGATATGGAGCGAGCGGTTGATGAACGTCTTCAATCGGGCGACCACGAGGGATGGCGACGGTTCGTGGCGTCCTTCATCCAACAGTGGATCGATGGTGGCTGGGCAGTGTTGGCCAGGGTGCTGCTGCTGCTGCTGCACGTGGCTGCCTGCGATCCAGCGCTGCTGTGGAGGCGGCCGCGAGCGAGGGGTCGGTGGATCACCGCGCACGCAGATGCTGTGTGACACTCCCTTCCCCGTGAGTGGACGTCGAGGCGGTGGCACACCCCTGGCTCGCCATGAGAAGGCAGTACAGCAAGTTGGCATGATCGTCATCTGTTTCCATCTGAACGGGGATAGCGCGTTGCCCCGTCGCGCAAGGCGTGAGGTTTTCTCCGGGCGCTCCGGTTTCCTCCTCCCACGTGGATAATGATAACAAACACGATTCGTCGTTGATTAGTTTGCTCATCGTAAAACCGTCACGCGAACTCCCGGTCATCCTCGCAGCAGCAGCAGCTTGAATATTGTCTCGGCCATCGAACAAAGGCCCCGGCCACTACATCATCGCGCGGCGTTTTCAGGTTCGCTTCTGCGGCCGTCTGGAACGCTCTTCCCTCCGACATTAGGAAACCACTGTGCGCGATGCACTTAAAAATTTTGGAATTAAAACACATTTATTTACAACTGCTCTCTGTGTTCTAGTTTATTGTCCGTCGCCTGATTAGCACTACGTCCGGTGCGACGTAAGTTATACGAACATGTGTAAAAGCAAGGTACACTTCCAGACGTTGTTAATGATCACGACGATGATGCGAAGGAAAAACGGGGCAGCGATGTGACAACACTGCGCGAACGGCTGAGCCCCATCCAACAAATACGAACCAACGAACGAACGAGGGGAGTCTAAGAACGACTCGAGCGGGCATCTTCATAGAAGGCACGACTATACCGATCGATTTCCTCACCGGGGCCGCGTTGCTCTTGTTGCCAAGCAAATCCCAGGCCGTCCAATTACGGCTCCCGCTCAGCCGGTGCTTTGTGAACGCCGCCTGTGCGTCCACGTGGAGGCGCCTGGAAAAGCCTGAATCGTAAAAGACAAATGAGTGATGTTGGTGGTGTACCACCCAGTTCCTTCAAACCCTCATCTTTCTTTCTTTGTTGTTGTTTTTTTTTATTGCTGTTGCTGTTGTTGGTGGTGGTGGTGTTCGATATTGAACCTAGCTGATGATGACACATTACGACAATGGGTATCTGTGTGTGAGTCTGGGTATCTGTGTGAGCCTTCGGGTCTCTGTGTCCGTCGGTGTTTCTGTGTGGGTCCGTGAAAGTCTGCGTTTCTGTGTGAGCCTGTGGGTCTGTGTGACTCTGTGGGACTCTGCGTGAGTCTGTGGTTCTCTGTGAGTCTGTGGGTTCCTGTGTGAGTCTGTGAGCTCCTGTGTGACTCTGTGGTTCTGTGTGAATTTTCTGGGTCCCTGTGTGAGTCTGTGGGTCCCTGTGTGACTCTGTGATTTTGTGTGATTCTGTGGGTTCCCGTGTGAGTCTGTGGTTCTCCGTGTGAGTCTGTGGATCTCTGTGAGTCGGTGGGTCCCTGCGTGAGTCTGTGGGTCTCTGTGAGTCGGTGGGTCCCCGTGTGAGTCGGTGGGTCCCCGTGTGAGTATGTGGGCCCCTGTGTGACTCCGTGTTTCTGTGTGAGTCTGTGGGTCCCTGTGGGAGGCTGTGTGTTCCTGTGTGATGCTGTGGGTCTCCGCGTGAGTCTGTGGGTCCCCGTGCGAGTCTGTGGGTCCCTGTGTGAGTCTGTGGATCCCTGTGTGACTCTGTGGGTCCCTGTGTGAGTCTCTGTGTGACTCTGTGTGTCCCTGTGTGATGTTGTGGGTCTCTGTGTGAGTCTGTGGGTCTCCGTGTGAGTCTGTGGGTCTCTGTGTGACTCTGTGTGTCCCTGTGTGATGCTGTGGGTCTCCGCGTGAGTCTGTGGGCCTCCGTGTGGGTCGGTGGATACGTGGTGAGTATCTAAGGGCAGGTGATGGGAGACCGTCAGACCAAATCTTAGAGGTCACCGTCTCTCTACTGTGCAGCGGCTGCATGATCTGGCAGAAGGCAGAACGCGTTGGCAATGAACGACTTTTCGTGTTTAGTTTGTTGTTCATCCCCAGCACCTCGGATCGACACGGTTGGCTACGTCCGGTTTCGAAAAGAAAGTTCGACACGCATACTTACATATATACATCTTGATCTCGACCTTGAACCTGGTCAGTGCTGGGGAGCGGTGGCGTAGTGGTTAGTGCGCTGCGCTATGAACCCGGCAGCTCAAGTTCGATTCCCCGCTCACGGCCACGGCCAGTGACCAATTAACTGAACCGGTCGTGCGCCTCCCCTAGGTCGACTCTGCCTCAAATGTGTAACCATCGTCACTGGGGAGACAAAGGCGGCCGGGCGTTGTGCTGGCCACCCCCCCCCCCCCCCTCGTGTGCCGCTTCGGCCTTCATAGGTGTGCTGCTCTTGAACAGACTGTAAGCACTTGTCCCAACAGTCTGTTAAGGCTATAGGGGGGAACTTTGTTGTTGTCTTTATTGGGCAGTGCTCCAGACTGACAAGGAGTAGACCGTGAGATCAACGAGTGGTCGCCAGGTTAAACCGGCCGACCCATCATCTTCGTGGGGCAGATAAAATTGGTACCAGGTTGTGAGGAGTTCAACGGTGGTTTGACCAATGTGGGCGGATCAGTCCAACTCTCATCATTATCATCACCGCCGCCATATTCATCATCATCGCCATTCTCTATTTTCTGATGTCTGATGCTTGTTTCACCCGCAGCGCTTCGGCATCTGATAACGGGAGCAGAGGAACGGAAAGAAGACGTTAGCACCACCACCACCAACAACAACAACAACCAGCGGAACAACCACCACGACCGACAACAACAAACACCGTCACACGGAACGGCCACAACTGCCACCATCACCAACAATATTAACACACAACCACTAGAAACAACAATAGCCACCATCACCACCAACAACCCCCATCACCTACGGAATATCCATCACCACCACCAAAAATAATCAACACCAACGAAAGCAAACAAGCAACAACCGCCACCACCAACGGAGCAACAACCACCACCACCACCGCCACCACAACCAATACAATTCCTCAGCACTACAAGTGCAAGAACAAGGAAAGAACCAAAACCACCACCACCACCAACTGAACAACCACCTCCACCAGCAACGACAACAACAACCGCGACCACCACCCAAAGGGAAGGAGCCCGCAACCGCATCCACGACTCCCGTCGGTCCTCTCTCCCCAGCCAGCGAGCCAGCCATGGGCGTCCTTGGACGTAGCGCTTCGGCTCACCAAGGCTCGTCCAAGGGGGGAGCCGTGCCCGCTGCTGCCCTGCTGCTGCCCCTGGTGCTGGCCCTGGCGCTGCCCCTGCCGGGCCCCGGGTGGGCTCAGAACGAGACGGAGCCGATCGTGCTCGAGGGCAAGTGCCTGGTGGTGTGCGACTCCAACCCCACGGCGGACCCGGCGAGCGGTGCCTCCTCGCTGGGCTTCACGGTGCGCTCGGGCACGGCCAAAGTGGCGTTCTCTGTGGTGCGGAGCACCAACCACGAGCCATCCGAGATGAGCAACCGCTCCATGATCATCTACTTTGATCAGGTGAGCGGATGGCGGGTGGGGCGGGGGGGATGGAGAGAGATTGACGAGAGATGATTGGAGAGAGATTGACGAGAGAAAGAATGAAGGAGGAGAGAGAAAGCGGGCGAGGGAATGGATGGACTGATGGATGGGAGGTTTTATGGAGATTTTCAGTCTTATATCGAGACGCATTGACTCACATAGAGACGCATCGATTTACGTAGAGACTTATATATAAAACACACGTAATAACGGAGAGACGCTTAAGAGTTACACAGAGACGCCTGTTGGTGCCTACTTGTCTGGTGCGGTGACGAGTTGTTAACTACCTCGCCTGATATACAGGAAGTCGTAGGTTCGATCCCGAGCCTGAAGCCTGTTCTATATTTGGAGTTCGCATGCCTCTCTCCCCGTGGTCGCCTGAAATGTCCTCCGGTTTTTTCCCTCCATATTTAGGAAGGTGCGTTTAGAGTGTTTGGCTGCTGTACATTCCCACGTGATAATCCACTTTTTTGAGCTGTTATTTGTGGTCAGGTCGCTTCTGAAAAGGACGCTACATAGCTAAGTCGGCCTGACCTGGTAAAATGTAAACATATTTTAGTCTAAGTTTAGGTCACGACCTCCTCGTGCGCCGTTTCGGTCTGAATAGGCGCTCGCTAACAGCACTCGCCCCAACAGTCCGTTAAAAAGCTACACGGGGGATCTTCGTTTTTTTGTTTGTTTTTGGCACGTAAAAATACACGTCTAAATCTACATGTCCACGCGTATCGACGTGTTATCACCATGCGATGAAATAGACGCTTAGATGTATTATTTAGAGCAAAGTATTAGACCCATCCATCCAGGAGATGGATCGTATCATGATTATAATCTACAGAGCCCTAGTAGTCATCATTGACAGCCATTTGTCAGTCTTGGAAATTTGATTTTCTTCTCTTACCATATTTCAGCACTGGCTGGTCAGTGCAGTCCAGGCTGTGAAGGGGGAATGGTGGTGAGGGTGGTGACGGGGTGAGGAAGGTGAGGGTGGTGAGGGTGGAGAGGCTGGTGCGTTCTCACGCAAGTTCAAGCGTAGTCAACAAAACATGTTGACCTTGAATGTCACGCCACTGCCGCTCGACTGACCGTGGTTGTTCCCAGTTATAGGCGGGTGGGTGCGGAGCGGTGTCGCAGTGGTTGGCGCTTCGCTGCGTTACGAACCCGGCGACCCGAGTTCGATTCCCGCTCACGGCCACCAACACCAGTGACGATTATCTGAACAGGTCCTGGGCCTCCCCTCGGTCGGCTCAGCCTCAAATTTGTACCTGGTGCGGTGTGTTTAAAATCGCCACTAGGGAGACAAAGGCGGACGGGCGTGGTGTTGGCCACCCACCCCCTCGTGTGTCGTGCCCGCCTTCACAGGTGCTTCCAAACTGCACTTGCCCCCACAGTCTGTCAAAGCTACACCGGGGATCTTTGCCCTTGTTATAGCCTGGACTTCCCTGCGGTCACGAATTTATTAAAACAGAACGATTCGTGTGGGTTGTGAGAAGTTAATTGACCATCTTGGCTGATGGGATGTGTACAAAAAAAAACCTACCATATGTTTTTTGTTGTTGTACTGTACCGCACTTCTGTGTTCCCACTTCAATGTTCTTCGCTCTGAGGCAAAGCCCTAACTGGCTGGTTTCGACATGCGGTGTCTTGTCAGTTCCGAGTTCGCTTTCATTGAAACCAATGCTGTTGACATGACGCACTCCCCAGCAGACTATGTCACTCGGGATGGGGGATCACATACAGACGGTTTCGAAACTCCATTTTCCCGTGCGCGTCGAGGAGGAGCCGTACCCTGGCTCGCCAGGAGACATCAGTACAGCAACAATATGTGAACTCTACCCGTTCCGTCTGCATGGGGATCGAGTGTTTCTCCCTCGCGCACGCTATGGGTTTTCTCTGGGTGCTCCGGTTTCCTCCGCAGTTGAATAATAAACACAACTCTTCATTGATTGGCAATGAAAAAAAAACACCTTCATAGTAAGAGGATCGCAGAGCATGGGCAATTGTACGTTTGTTGAACTTCTTCCGCACCGTACGTAGCCAACCGTGCTTATAGCAGGCACGGGGGAAAGTCAGCAAACTAAACACAAAAAGCAGTGCCCAGTGGCTTCCTGATATCGGAGGGAAGAGCGTTCCAGACGGCCGCAGAAGCGCGTCTGAAAGCGCGCGATGCAAGTGACCGTCTCTGTTCGATGGCTGAGCCAAAAGCCGCTGCAGTTGTTGGTAGCAACGGCACCTCATCGCCGAGTGACTGCTGCTGCTGCTGCCGCACCCTGGCGCCTCCGAGTCGTCCTCCCATCGCTCCGCTCGCCTACGAGCGCGAGAGAGCGGACATCCACGGCAGCGACACCGCGCCCGCGAGTTGTACGTGACGACTGGCGATCATCGGCGACGCTGCCGCTCGTACGATCGACGCTCGGGCGGCTCGTAGCGGGCTCGCGCGCGAGACAAACCAAAAACCTGCGGACGGCACCGCGTTTCGTTTGGCACGCGGACTCCCGCAGACCCTTGTGGTGGTGGGGGGGGGGGGCGGGATAGCTTGGCAAAGACGCGACAACGGCGGAACGCGATGAATATTTGACGCGTTCGCAGGTGCATCTGTACTTCCGTTAATATCGTACAGCTCCTTACCAGGCCGGGATGTAGTGGGGGGAGAGAGCGTGGCGGATGTTGGGGGGTAACTGGGGGGTAACGAGGGGAGGGAGAGAGCAGATTGACCTGGGCAAATGGGGTCATTGATCCAGAGCCCACAACTAAACTCTAGAGGGCCCCACGAAAATAGGCAAATTAATTCCTGACATTAAATTTTCTGTTCGTGTACTTCAAAGTAGGACTGTCGGTTCACATTATCGCGTGGTAAATTGTAACAATCCGACAGCACGTTCCCCGACGTGCCACATGCCAATACGGGGGGAGCTTTGTCTTTGTGGATGTGTAACACAGCACCATCAGAATATGCATTTATGCTGGAGGAAACCGAAGAGCCGTGAAAGCTCTTGTTCGCAGATGTCCATCAGCGCCGCGGAGAGACAAAGGCGGCCGAGCGCATGGATGCTGTTGCTGATGCGGCCGAGTGTGGAATGGTCAGTCGCAGAGACAACACAGAGGTCGCCGGTACCATTGCGACCTCTCGGCGTGGCAATTTAAACGACGGCCACGTTTCTGACACTCCCCCCTAACCCATATCCGTCCTCCCGCGAGCTAGCTAGCTAGCCCCGCACCCGGCCGCCTTTGTCTCCTCGGCGCTGATGTTCACGCACCGCGGGAGGTAGATTACTTATTTTAAAGCCCGAGCCGCGTGATCCTACGGCCGTAAATCCCGAATCGGTTTATCGGTGAAACCGCCGCCGGCAATCAGCCACGCGTGGAATCGACGACACACACGTGTCGCCGGGCTTCATAACGCAGCGTTCGCTAACCGCTGCGCCACCGCTCCGCCTCGCTCGCTCCTCTCCGTTTTTAGTCTGAGAGACACAGACGCGCGCGTCGCCGCAGTGCTAAGTGGATTGACTCCGGGGTGGCTTGGCCTTAATTGGATTTTTTTTTTATCGCGGTTGTTTATTTATTTTTTCAGGGTGGGTGGGTAGGATGGCAGAGGGGGGGGGGAGGTACTGCACGTGGTTGTTCCACTGGCGAACGTTCGGAATTGTACAGCGTGGACCGTAGTCGTTGGTGTTCGAGGGGGAATTGGCCGTGACCTTTGCTCACCAATGGACGATGGCTTCCCCCGCTCCCCCCGCTCCTCCCCCCTTCCGCCCCCCACACGACCCCCCCTCCCCACCCCTTCCATCCCCACTCACCCCTTTCGTATACAGCGCCCTTTAATTCGAGCGTGGCAAGAATCCCTTTGTGCCGTGGTAGTGTCTCCGTTTTTAATTACAGAATGACGACCCTGGAGACCACAATCGCGTAGTAACAATTACCATTATTTAAATAGACATTTAAGGTTATTTGTGTATATATATAATTACGAGGTTAATTAAAACTAATTGGCGCGATGCGTAACGGCAATGCCCTTGAATCTGGCCACCCGAGTTATATTTCTCACCCACGGGTGCGTGCAACATCAGCGGCGAATATTTGACGAAGTCTCGTGCCTCTGCTGGGTCGATTCAGCCTTGAGCGAGTAGGTATACTTGTGGTGTGATGTGGGAAGATAAAAAAAATCACCAACCGCGAAGACAAAGGCGGCCGTGCGAGGTGCTCCGCACACCACAATAACCTGCCGATCTCGTCAAGGAGCTTAAGCCTTGAAGCGAATTCCGGTCATCATCGCAGCTGCTTCTCGATAACCATCGAATGAAGACGTTCACTGCATTGCGCGCTTTTATATGCACTTCTGCGGCCGTCTGGAACGCTCTTCCTTCTGATATTAGGAAGCCAATGGCGCTATGCACGTTAAAATCTAGAATAAAAACGAATTTCTTGAGAACTGCTTTTTGTGTTTAGTTTGTTGTCCTTCCCCCGTACCTCCGATTAGCACGGTTGGTTACGTACGGTGCAAAGGAAGTTCAACGTACATGCATACCACCCCCTGTGTGCCGTGTTGATTATCCTACGGGCTGCGTTAACATCACTTGTTCCAACAGTCTGTTGAGGCTATACGGGGGATCTTTGTCTTTGTGCTTGTTTTGGACGACTACTACCAACGCTGTCTACCCATGGATACATAGCACGGTAGGCGGAGTCGACGGAGTCAAGGATGCGATGCGTGGAGGGAAAGAGAAGGGAAGGGGAGATGGAAGAGAGAAGAAGGCAAGATGGGAAATGGGAGTCGAGAGGTGAAGGATGGAGAAGGAGTGGAGAAACGGGAGCATGGGGGATCAGGGGAGACGAGGAGAGGGAGGAGGGAGAGGCTGCGTCAGGGCCTCCAAGCTGCTGCTGCTGTGAGGAGGAACGGCGTCTGTTTTCACAGCGGGCGGGGAGAGGGGAAAGGGGAGGGGTTCAGAGTGGGGGTGGCCACGCATATAAGTCACGTGGTTTAC